AAGTTATATAAGTGGAGTCGGATCCTTTCTTGTGAAACTTCGTTACTTTCAAGATTTCTGTTTGCTCAATCGTTTCGTACTTTTTGGGGTTTGTCAACGTTGAAGGGTTTACGTAAGTGGTGGTGTTATCAACGTTGAAGGGTTTTCACAAGTGCTTAAAAGTAACAGTTACTTTTAAGCATTTTTTCCCAACAGGTTTAAAGCTTGTTTCCAAAAGGAGATTCCAAAATCATCATAATGAACTGGTATGAAATGCTTAAAGTGAGTTCAGAATAAAATTTCATAATCTGAAACTGTACAAAATCATCCTTCCTAGTAAAACTTTTCATGTTCATGAATGGACGATTCAGCTGATGTATGATTTAGCCCCCGTTTTCTCTTTCTCATTTTTTATTTTAACTACACATTTTTCAAATAAAATAATGTTACACACAAATCAAAAACTTTTCATCACTTTTCCACCACACATTCTCACATCAATCAGTATTCCAAAATTTCTATTCTCCTCAAAATTAGATTCAAACACACTATTTTCCCTTAAAAAATCATAGCAAAGTAGGGATATTANTGGCACCCATTAATTTCTCATTCTCATTCCCATTCTTCATTTCAACCACACATTCTCCAAATAAAATAATATTACACACAAATCAAAAACTTTTCATCACTTTTCCACCACACATTCTCACATCAATCACTATTTCAAAATTTTCGTTCTCTTCAAAATTAGATTCAAACACAAGCTTAGTCTCCTGACATTAACCATCCCACGAGGACAGTCGAGCCACCTCATTGTCCTCCAGAAAAGTTACTGTTTTAATTCAAAATCTTGAATTGCATGCGACATAAGCTCCATGCCTGCTTCTGACAGAGACACCTGTCTTGTAATAAATTATAATGGTAGTTGAAGCCACGGCAGAAAAAAATGGACAAATTCATGGCATAGTGAGAAACGTAATTGTTGTGCTTATAGTGTTCAGGATAAGATTGTTCACTTGCTGACGTGATACAAGAATCTTACAGTTCTCTCCAAGTGAGCAAGATAAAATTTCCAACCGTGAAAACATTTCTGGAGTAAGAGATTGCTGCATTTAATATAGGAAAGATGTGACTTGGATACACAACTACAAGAATTGGGCTAGAAGAACTGTAAAGGAAATTGATCTAAGAAGAGCTTTTAGTTGAAACTTAAACATCTCTAAAATCTGTTTTTTATTTTCCCTCTGAATTTCCAATAAAAGATTATACTTGGAAAAAAAAAACAATTTAAAGATTCGAGACAAAATTAAAAGGTACTTAAAGTAGTTCCAATAAATTTCAAATATAATTTGACAATGTATTTCGGGTACAAATACGAGGGAGGTTTTCGTGCTGCTACACGAACAAAATCAAAGCCAACATTTGAGAAAATCCTCCAAAAAATAAATTAATCAGGATATTATTTTATACTATGTTCACAGAGGAAGACAATGAATTAAATTCATTGTGATGCAAGGGATGAAGTAGTTAGCAATGAACCAAAGAGTGTCTGAAAAAAAATTCATAAAGTCGAACCAAAAATTATTAAAAACAAGAATTGCTTGGCTATTTTTGTTGCATGCGATATCAAGCATGTTTGGCATAGCTAAAAAAGGTTTACTTACAAATAAGTTTTGGTATAAGCAAGTTTTTTACTGATTAAAATTGACATTAAGTTACTTATTTTGATAGTAAGGCAGGCATTCATTTTAAAGTAACTTTATTTTTTCCTTATTAATAAGAAAAATATAATGTAGAGAAATATATTTCTTTAAGTTTAGCCAAAGATAAAATTGACACAGGGTTGTCTTCTTCTTAGTGGTAGTAAATGGGCTGAGCGGCTCGTGAAAAGTCGGCTCATGGGCGGCTCGGGATCGTCACGAGCCAAGCAGGTCGACTCCCGCTGGCTCGCCCACTGGCAAGCCGCTAGCGGCTTGTAGTCCAAGGCGTAGGGTTTATTTTATTTTTTAAAAAAATGTTTATCTTAAAAAAATAAAAATAATAAAAAATGACGAACTTGCGAGCCAAAGCTTGGCTCGGTCCACGAGCCACAAGCCACGAGCTCACAGGCCGAGCTGAGCTCGACCCACGAGTAATTTTGCTCAGCTCGATATAAACGAGCCACGAGCTCCGCTCATGACGAGCTGAGCTCGTGTCTATCTCGACCCGACCTATTGTCATCTCTACTTCTTCTCAAAATCCTATCCCCACCCCTACCTCCTTTCCCACCCAAACC